GCTAACTAATTTGGATGTAAATTAAAAAAAAATAAAATTTAAAAAAATTAAATAAAAAGAAAATAGAAATTTTAGGAATGAAAAAAGGAGCAGTACAGATACTCTGGGGGTTAAAAATAAGAACACTGTGAGTCAGACTTATACCAACACATGTGAAAATTTAGAGGAAATAGACAATTTTCTGGGAAAATAGAACCTTCTGGAATCACCTAAGAGGACTACAATGAACCTGTATCCATTACATTACCGTATCCACCTGTGCCAGTAGCTTAACATCCAGCCAGTGGAGACTGCACAGGACCCCAATGATTTCCAGAGAAAGTTCTAGCAAACCCAAGAGAATCCTTGTATGGCTCCAGAAGATTAAAAAAATGAGAGAAAACTGCCCATCTCTTTTGCTGAGGCTAGATTTACCTGGATGTGACACCAGAGAAGAAACTATAAGAAATAAAAACTATGTCCAACAGATTCAAAAATCCTACATAAAGTGTCATCGCGTCAACCGGGACTAAGGATGTAGAACATAAGTGAAAATGGGTGGAGACCTTCTGCAGATGCCTTGGAACAGGGTGGGGAGGCAGCCCAGCAGGGGGTGGTGTCCACTTAAGGAGGGTGCCTGAGAGTCAGGGCTAGTGGTTCAGGAGATTCACTGCACACAGGGGATTGGGAAAATAAATGAATACACTGAGAACCAGGGGATCCATGTTTCTTACTATTAAGGAAAAGAGGTCCAAAATGGAGGAAAGGAATTGCTACAAAGAATCCCATGGAACTGACCTAGAATGGGAAAAGGATTAGAGTGCCTGGGTGGCTCAGTCAGTTGGGCGTCTGGCTCTTGATTCTGGCTCAGTCACGATCTCATGGTTTGTGGGTTCGAGCCCCGTGTGGGGCTCTGTGCTGACAGCTCAGAGCCTGGAGCCTGCTTCAGATTTTGGATCTCCCTCTCTCTCTACCCCTCCTCCTCCCTTGCTCATGCTCTGTCTTTGCGTCGCTCTCAAAAATAAACATTTTTTAAAAATTAAAAAAAAAAACTAAACTAAACTAAAATGAGTTGCAGGGCTCCTTCTGGAAGCTTTAGGGGAAGATCCACTTCTGTGCCCTTTCCAGCTTCTGGATGCTGCCTGCATCCTGGGCACAGGGTCCCTGCCTCCACCTTTAAAGTTACCAGCCTCTGTTTCCATCACACCTGGCTCTGACTCTGATCTCCTCCCGTAAGGATTCTTGTGATGACACCGGGCCCACCCTGGATAATCCGGGATGATCTCCCCATCTCAAAATCCTTAACTTAATCACGTCTGCAAAGTATCTTTATTCAAGGTTCCAGGGGCTTGGATGTGAATGTTTTTGGGGGGGGGGGGGGCATGATCATGTCTACCACATTCCGTGATTTATGTTGAGTGAAATAACAAGAAACATTTTCAAATGCTTTCCTAGACTTTGATTCCACCAGAAAAACCTGTTGATCAAGCAAAACTGGGTTTATTGGACCTCCTGCAGTAAAGGACAACACTGGCTTCCACAGAGTCTCAAATTAAGAAAATGAGGGATGGTATTTATAGGGTTTTAGGGCCCTGGCTGGGAGATTTTGAAGTGGGTCTTGCACAGCAAGGAGCAGGTGGGGACTGGGCAGAGTTTCTGACATAAGAGCATTGGAATGGTGGGCCAGGGAGGTGGGGTTTGGAAGTGAGAGCTGAGGCATCATCTTATCTCCCAGGAGCAGGCATTTCCTGGAACAAGCAGTGTGGTGACTTCTGCCTGATCCCAGGATTGCTTAACCAAAGGATCACGGTGGCTGCAGTCCTCACTATTCACGCTGTAAAAATAGTTCTTATTTTTCGAAGCGCCTCCTGCAGGCCAGACAGCTCGGTTACCTTTCGGCAACTAAACAACCCTAAAGGCAAGCATTTCAGCCTCATGTCCGTATAGTAATCCCCTTCTTGGATTCCGGGAGTCAAAAGCTCCTGCATAAAAATCGAGGCTCGTCCACCCACTTTCCAGGGGGGATATGGACAGGTGAATTCTCTGGGCCAGACTCCATTTCTTCATCTGTAAAATCGGGACAGTACGTCCTGCTCCGAGGATGAAGCCATGTATCCAGGGGCTCTGGCTGGGTGCACAGCGTGTGTCCGCGTGAATGGGGGGCCACGCACCCCGGCTGCCTGCAGGAGACCGGGTTCACGCCTACCCTTCTGACTTCATTATCAAATAGTGCCTTGGTATGATTCTCAAAAGTGTTCTTCTGTAGATGATAAATTATACGGGCACAGGTCAGTACAGTGAAGCTATGGTCATTATTTCCACTCTGTAGGTGAAAAGGGGAAGGGGCAGAGAGGTTCGGTGCCCTGCTTCCAGGTCTGAGGGGGCAGAATTTGCCCAATTAAAGGTGCATTTGTAGGTCAAGTGCCATTCTTGCTGGGAGTGATGGGTCGTCCCCCCCCCCCCACGCCACACTTTGTGACTACACATTTGTGTGATTTTTATGTTAAATCCATCTGTCCTATTCGATCAGGAGCCCCGCACGAGTGCGAAAACTGTGTCATCCTGACAGTACAGGGGTGCCCAGGCCAGCTCTTGTCCTCCCCAGATGCTTGTCATTTGCATGCAAACGTTCAGCCTGCTGCCGGGTGAGTGTTCAAAAGAAAGGGTGTAACTTAAGAGGGGCAGCTCTCCCCTTAGAGACAGACCCAGCTTCAGAGGTGCAGCCCCAAAGTTCTGGGAGGGTCCACCACCCCGGCCCGGACACTCCATAGTAGACAAGAGCTGTCCCATCACCCACCAGCCGCCTCCCAGTGCGCACCCGGGAGTTGGCGAGTACCCAGCGTTGGTCGTTCGTCGCTGCGACCATCCTCCACCCGACGGGGCTCTGATAACCATCCACCCTCCACAGTCGGGTAGACACAGGAAGCAGGAGAAAAGCGCCCACACGCTGGGCTCTCTCGGGCGCGGTGTATGTGCCGGGCTGGGGCCTGACCCCAGTGTCCCCAGCAAACAGGATTTTTTCCTGTAATTACCATACCTTAGGCTTGGCCCTCACAAAGTTATCGCCGTGCAATCAGACGGGAGGTTTGGGCTCTGATAAAAGTGTCTCTCCTTAATAGTAACAGACGTTAAGGAATGCTTAATGCCTGGTCTTCCTTTGACTCCCAGGAGGAAATTAACCCGCATACGTATGCATTTATTTAGGCTAAGATAATAGACGGCTCCGGTATTGCAACTTCAACCACCGCGGAGAGTTTTTAAACAGTCTAAAATCTGAGCAGACCCCGTGACTCGGCAGTTTCTGTCCCCGACGGTCCGCTGCAGAAACGCTCCGGACCAGCAGGTGTGCGCGAGGGCGCCCCTTTTATCTTTTATTTGTAATAACAGGAAAAACTGGAAGAACCTCAGGTCCCTTAAGGGGGGAAGGGGCTAATGACCGAACATCAGGGTATATGCACACAATGGAGGGCCTCCCCGGGGCCAAAAATAAGGAGGCCCAGGGAAGACGACATCCCGGCCGAGCGCAGAGAACAAAGCGAGCGTTGGCGCATTGATATTCATGGAACGGCCCCGACGAGGGCCTAGAAATGCAAATTCGCTGAATCTGTTACCTCCTCGGCAGTAACAAAAAAGATTGTATTCAGGTACCACTCGGTCACTTGAAAAACACACAGCATTGAAAAACACGAAACTGGCCACCTCAAACACCCGGGGGGGGGGGGGCGGAAGGGGGTGGGGGGGGGCGCTTAGCTCTGCAGCCTTCCATCCTGGGTAAATGCGGGTGTAACCAACTCGGGAGCTTCCCGGGTTCAGTTAGATGGTTTTTTGGTTTGGTTGTCGCTGTTGTTGTCTTTCCAGGGCTAGGCGGCTGCAGAAGGAAAGTAAAATCACGGTAAAAATTTCACCCAGGGGCGCCTGGGTGGCTCAGTCGGTTAGGCGTCGACTTCAGCTCAGGTCATGATTTCACGGTTTGTGGGTTCCAGCCCCGTGTCGGGTTTTGTGCTGACAGCTCCGTCTCCCTCTCTCTCTGCCCCTTCCCTACTTTCTCTCTCTCTCAAAAATAAATACACATTAAAAAAAAAAAAAAATATATATATATATATATATATATATATATGTTAACACCCGTAATAACTAACACCGTGAGCCTGAATCGCATGCCTTTGCAGCTCAATTGCCACCTTTGCTGAAATCTGGGCACCCAGCATTCTTCTTTCCGTGGTCCACTTGTATTTCCCAGCTTTTCCTTAAGGCCAAAATAAAACTGGGAAGCTGTGGGCAGTGGGCAAAGCCCTGGAAGGTGTTTGAATGAGATTCTCCCGAGGGGCTGTCAGCCAGTTCTGGATTTTTCCACTTGAACAGAATTGTTTTCCAAGATCTGACCATTGCTAGAAGGGTGGTTTCTCCCTTGCCCTTGTATGAATAAGTATGGAGTGCGTGACTGTTCCTGGGACTGAGGTGATCCCTAAGGACACAGTAGTGAACCACTTAACAGAACCCCTCCCCGCCCCCCAGGGGCTCTTATGCTGCCGTGGAGGCCAGTGGGCGTGGGTGTTGACAGTGACCCAACAGGCAAGAAGAACGTGACAAATAAAAGAAATACTGCAAATTGTAATAACTCAAATGCCTCCTGGGAGGCCCTCGAAACTCTCCTGTTGAAATGCCAGCCCATGACTGTCCCTGCCCCTCTCACCTGCCTATCCTTCTCCTGGGTTCTTGGCAGGTTCTGACACTATGTATCCGAGTCTTTACTTACTGGGTTCATTCAGCCAAACGGGCGCTCCACAGGACAAGATTTTTAGTCCGTTCTGTTCACTGCTGAATCCCCAATGCCTGGAACAGCACTGGGCACGTAGGACGTGCTCCATAAATATTTGTGGAATGAGTGCATGCAGAAGGGACAACTTGGGGCAGAGATAGGGAATCACAGGGTGAGGGACCTCGTGGACCCGGGCGGCTGGGGAAGGCCAGGTTGAGAAGGTGACAGATATGACTCAGCGCCACTCTGAGAGTTAGTCAGGCCTTCTCCAGGGCCAGGGCCCCAGAAACGTGGGCTCTGAGCTCCCCACAAACTGACCCCCTCTTTAAGGTCACGGCTTCTCCTCTGAATGCTCCCCAAGGGCTTTGCAGACATTGCCTTTCACGTCGCCCTCGCCCAAACCCCAAGAGCTTGTGAATGTCATTTCCTTTCTAGATGTGTGGAAACTGAGGCATGGAGACTTTAGCTAAGTTGCTAGTGAGGGCCGAAAATGGGGTTTGAATCCCTGCACACTTGATCAGTTCTGGGTATCATGGGGGCCAATTTCCCGGGTCCATGCAGACTTTTGCTGGCTTGGACCCCCACCAAGTCCCCTGACCTGCGTCCCCGAGTACAAGTGGACTGGATGAAGGAGAAAGAGATGTGGCGTTCAGACTGGGAGACAGCTGTCCAAGAGGCCCTCTTCTCCAGTGAAGGAGTCAGAACTACCTAGAAGTTCCACAAAATTGCTGGCTGGTGCCCCAGCTAACCTCTTACTCCCTAATCCTGCTGTAAACCCTAACCCAGAGCTCCTAGAGAAGGGATTACACAGGCAGTGGGAAACTATGCACCCTTTATGTGTTGTTTCAACCTTGTGTACTACAAACATATGTCTTTTTTTTTTAATTATTTTTTCTTTAATGTTTATTTATTTTTGAGAGACAGAGCGCGAGCAGGGGAGGGGCAGAGAGAGAGGGAGACACAGAATCCAAAGCAGGCTCCAGGCTCCGAGCTGTCAGCACAGAGCCCGAGGCAGGGCTCGAACTCACTGACCGTGAGATCATGACCTGAGCCGAAGTCGGATGCTCGACCGGCTGAGCCACCCAGGCGCCCCTAAACATATGTCCTTTTGGTAATAATACCGATCATTCCAGTGTTTGATCGAAAGGAATATAATGTGGTTGTTAGTAAAAGGAAAAGCAGACAATGCAGTGGGGGGGTTGGTAAAGGGTAAAAGGTGTCATTTCATGTCAGTGGAGAATTGGTTATTTGAAAAGGTAATGTTGAAAGACATAAAAAGAAAGAAAGAAAGAAAGAAAGAAAGAGAGAAAGAAAAGAAAAGACACTTTATTCATTAGTCCCAAAGAAAGGATAGGTTGGGCAAGTTTGTAAATGCGTGATGCAAAATCTCCCTAGGAAAATGGTAGGAAGAAAAGAAAAGCGATCACAGAAACACCAGGAAGGGGAAGGGAAAGGCTGACCCATTTCACTCCAGAAGGATTTCAAATGTGAAATATTTCAGGCAGGAAGCAAGACGAGGGAACGATACATAGCGTGACTTGCTGTCTGCTCAGCTCCCGGCTCACGACAGAGGCCACCCCCAAAACCCTGCGAGCTCTACAACCTACACCGTCCGCCCAGCCTTCCCGCTGCAGACTGAATTTGGAGTTTTCTTCCCCTTCCTGTTTTTGTCCTTGTGTTTTCTGTGGAGGTACTGATGCCTCTTTTGAAGGTTTTAAAATTGCTATTGGGCAGGGCGCCTGGGTGGCTCAGTCCGTTAAGCGTCCGACTTGGCTCGGGTCATGATCTCGCATTTCGCGGGTTTGAGCCTCGCGTCGGGCGCTGTGCTGACGGCTCGGACCCTGGAGCCTGCTTCGGATTCTGTGTCTCCCTCTCTCTCTGCCCCTCCCCTGCTCACACTTTGTCTCTGTCTCTCAAAAAAATGAATAAACGTTAAAAAATAAAATAAAAATAAATAAAATTGCTATAGGGGCACCTGGGTGGCTCAGTTGGTGAAGGTCTCAGCTCAAGTCATGATCTCAGGGATCGCGGGTTTGAGCCCCGAGTCTGGAAGTGTGGAGCCTGCTTGGAGTTCTCTCTCTCTCCTTCTCTCTCTGCTCCTTCCTCTCTCTCTCTCTCTCTCTCTCCCTCTGTCTCAAAATAAATAAGCTTAAAAAAAATAAAATTGATAAAAACGCTATCATATGGATATCACATTTTTACTTTGAGGTAAAATTCATATAACATAAAATCCACCATGTTAACGAGGTTAAAGTGTACGATTCTGTGGCATGTAATACGTTCACAATGTGGGGCAACTGTCACCTCTGTCTAGTTCCAGAACATTCCATCACCCTGAAACGGAACGCTGGGCCCATTAAGCAGTCACCCTGTGGATTTGCCTATTCTGAATATTTCCTATAAATGGAATGATAGCACAAGTGACTGGCTTCTGGCACTCACTGTTATGTTGTTGAGGTGCATCCCTACCGTAGCCATTCTTCACGCTTCGTTTCCTTGGATGGATGTGCCACATTTTGTTTATCCCTCCGCTGACGGTCATTTGGGTTGTTCCCACCTTTGGCTACTGTGCATAGTGCTGCTATGAACTTTTGTGTACACGTTTTTGTTTGAATGCCTGTTTTTATTTATTATTATTATTAACGTTTATTTCTTTTTAGAGAGACAGACAGAGTGCGAGCCGGGAAGGGGCAGAGAGAGGAGAGGGAGGGAGACACAGAATCCAAAGCAGGCTCCAGACTGTGAATTGTCAGCACAGAGCCCGACGTGGGGCTCGAACCCAAGAACAGTGAGATCATGACCTGAGCCAAAGTCAGACGCTCACCCGGCTCACCCCCCACAGGCCCCTGAATGCCTGTTTGTAATTCTTTGGGGTATATACCTAAAAGCGGAATCGCTGAGTCCCATGGTGGTTCCGTGTTTGACTTTTTTAGGAGCGTCCAAGCTTTTCCACGGTGGCTGCAGCATTCTGCGTTCCCACCAGCAACAAGGAGGGTCCCGAAGTGTCCCGTCCTTACCGCCCTGGGGGACGCGTGCAAAGTCGTTGAAAATGTTTTTCTTAGCAACGATCTGCCTTACCAGTGTCTGTGTTCCTATGTGTGGCTTTGCCACAGAAGCACGTAAGGCCTTGATAGAGTTCAGAACGGGCCGCCCCAAAATACGCTGCTTTGGCCTATTGATTCTTTTGAGCTGTCGGCACTTAGAGAATCAGGGCTCCCTGACCTCCCCCTTCCTACCTGAAAACGAGCTGTAAAATTTCCCATAAGGAAGGTACCGTCCCTGTACTAGGAAGAGGAGAACATTCCGGAGGCTAGGAATCAGTGCCGAAGTGGATCTGTTCAAACAAGCCTGCTAACATCGGCTTATCTTCCGCGGGCCCCTCCTCCCCGTGTACCTCCCAGCGACTTCCTGCAGCTGGCTGGCTCGAACCTCTTTGTCTTGTCCTCTGTTCCTGACTCTATCGTTTATTGCAAAGGTATAAAAGCTTCCTGCTCTGGTCCCTTCTTAGGGG